ATTACTTTGAAATTTAATTATTAATTACATTTCTAAAAGTCTCCCTTTCTTGATAATTAGCAAGTTATAATTGCTTCTCTTCTCTCTACTACTAGTTTCGTCCCATCTAGCCTAATCTAACCTTAGATCAAGCAAGTAGTTTTAGTTTGTGGCAAATAAGTTCTCTATTCTTGTTTATAACATGACTTCGCGCGCGCCTATTTCTGACTTGCATTTGCATTAAAATAATAATTTACTAAAACATATATGACGGCGAAATGATTTTGTTACAATTATTATTATTACTATTATTATTATTATTATTATTATTATTGATCGAATCTATTTCAAAATAGATTTCTATAAGTTTGTTAATCTCACAAAACGTCCGTTTGAAGAGAATCGATGTTTACAATATTTATAATTTAAAACATATTTACAGGAATTTAATACACATATATACACACATCTTTAATGAGATGCTTTCAAATTGTCTTTCAGAGTTTTTTTAACCAGGCATATAAAGGCTATTACTTGATATTTAAAGACATGAATGTTATTTTATCTACCGAATTTCGAATCCAAAAGCTAGTTATAATGTTTCGGATTTATTGAATGAATTTCGCTATCACACGAGTTTATAAAGCTCTATGCTTCCTTCAAGTTTGCTGGCGCCGAATCCCGCGCGATCGATCTCAATTTATATGAAAAACGTTCTTTATAATAATGCGCAAAAAATTAATGCTAATTTACACGTTTTTTTGAAAAGAATTGATAATTAATATTTTATGTAAATATTTAAGACTATACCACACATTTTTATCATCATGAAAGTCATGTCTTACAAAGATATATGTATATTGTAATAACTATTAAGTAAATCATGCAAACTAAGCGTTCCCGCAAGTTTACTAATATGCTCATTCTTACCTTGTTTCAAAAAACAGCATTTGTTTTGCCATAAAGTTTCAGATTTGAAAAATAATCCTATAATAAAAACGATAAAGCAAAAAAATTACAGAAAACAGCTACTATTGCCTTAAAACTTACAACTCTTACAAAAAAAAGCATTTCTTTAGTAGTGCACTAAGTGAAGTCGCTTGGCATTTAAATAGAGTAGCATGACATCATTATCTATGTCTGGTGGTGTGGTTTTTGAGTGGTATATTAGGGACAGTCCCCCCTAAAATCAAAACCAAGCTCTATCCCATTCACAGACACAACCAAAATACTATTTCAACTACGAATCATATCTCAGGACCGAGTCGCCAAACTTTTTTCCAAGCAGCTCGAATAAAAAGCATGACGGTTTAAGTATGAAATCGAGATAATAATAAAGTGCAAGTTTGATGAATGCTTAATAAAGATTCATGTTGGTGAAATTCAAATTTTTCTTATACGAGAGATGAAAAAAATATCATCATGATGCATATTATGAAGCTCAACATGTATACATGGGGATGTGCAAAAAAACGTCTTCTTCATATATACAAAGGAAGTTTACAACTTTTAAAGAAAGAAACAATAAGGTCACGTTCCTCATTATCTTTGCCCCTAAATTTTTTATGTATTGATAAAAACGAAAAACATGACTTTTCTCTGCTGTCCACACCCCCATATAATAATAACACACATGATTGATGATAGAACCATTGGCTGATCCAATCCTTATCATTTATATAAATACGTGCCGATATATTTCTGCTAAACTTTTTCTTAACACAATCAACTGGAAGTATATATAAGATCTGATTATCATTTTTTTTTACTTTTTTTATTTTCTCAAACAAACAAAAAACTTTTCCAAATAAATAAATATAATATCTGATACCAAAACCTACCTGTAAAATAAACAACAACAATAACAGCATTTATTGACAACGTTAGAAAATATGCCAAAAAAGGGTAAATGCTTAAAAGTGTCTGACGTTTTAAATAAATGGTTGCAGCCAAGAATTGAATCAAAGTTGGAGAATGGGATAACAGCAGAGCAAGCTTTAGAAGATATTGTTAAAGAAATTGCAATCAACTCTCTTTCTCAACTTCCACTACCATTGTTTTCTAGTTCGATGATAGCTTTGGCACAACTTGGTGATAAAAATAAATTGGAAATTATGGAAAAGATCATTGCTATATCACCAAATCCTGAGTTTGCAACAAAAACAAAAACAACTACTGATGGCAACGATGGTAGCGGTGGCAATAGTGTAGTGGCTGATAAAATTCGTGATTATTTGATTTTGAAGCTTCTATCATCTTCAACATCTTCGTCATTGATGTTGTCTTCTTCTTCACAAGAAGATTCCTTCTCTAGTAAAGTTTCAATAGAAATTAAACCTAAACTTATGGATATTGCAAAGACTGTTTTACAAAACTCTTATAATAATAACATTCGAAAAAATTTGGCTAGAAAGTAAATGTAAAAAATTTTTTGATAATTATATAGCAGTTATAGTAGACTAAATATTTTTCAATTCTGATAATCCTCCCATTAGATTCCTAAATATTTCTCCAAGTGTAAAATAAAATAAATTTATATTTGGAAAAAAATTAGGCAATTAGTTGTCAAGTATTTACAGAAGATGGGACTTTCGATGGCCTTTTAAATTGACATTTTATTGGTTCTTGCAAAGATTGATTATCATTATACTGTAACTATTATTCTTTTTTATTCAATCTCCAACTTTTAATTAATTTTTTTTTTTTTGCCAATCCACGAGCAATATGTTCAATATGTTCAATATGTTTAAATAATGTTATATTTATTTTTATATGTCTAGTTGTAGAAACTTGTTCTAAAACTGTGTCCTTACCACATGATTATAATTAATGAACTTCCTTCAACATTTTTTATTCGAGTTTTATTAAATTTTTGAAGACCTTAATATAAATAGTATTAGTCCGTACCATTGATCTCTAAAATCATTAACTTATACTCTATAAAGTTAATATTAATAATTTTGATAATGTAAATTTATAATGTAAAATAAACATAATATCAATAAATAAAATATAACGCCGTCGTCACTTGGATTGAACCTTTGACTATTATTGTTATATTTATTCTTCAAATCTCCAATTTTAATTACTCGTCATCAATATTGTATTCACGCATTAAGTATTCATGTTTTCCAAATATAATAGAGAATATTTCAAAGATAAAGATATTTATTATAAAAATTATTATTTTCTTATGTACTCACTCATATTTGTACATAACTCAACAGTCAACTTATTGTTTCATTCCTATGCAATCTACCACTTTATTCCTTTTTTATATCATACCACACTCATACATGTATATACATTATCTGAAATACTATGTCATTATTTTTTGCTGTTGACAATTTCCTCGTAGTTGCAGGATTACTGACACGGCAATTTGTACGCACCAGTTGAGTACATCATCATTGTTATTTTCTATTCAGATAAATTCTGTCCCATGCTAATACTAAAGATACAAAGGAAAGGTCAAAACAAAATTTTCTCGGGTTGTACAATAATAGTGTTCAGATGATGATGCGCTTGGCATACTCCTTTGGAAAAATTATGACTAAAATAAAAAAACCCAAATTAATAACTATATACTTTCCCACTCTTTGTCCTTACTAATATATTTATAAAATATTCAAGAAACCATCCCGTTTTATCCATCGGGAGAAGTGACCTTGTTGCATATACTAACTACAGCAATATTGTAAACTTAATCAAAATTTAGATTATTTTGTGTGTGTACTCGGTTTTTAGGGTCTGGAACTATTGCTATCTATTTATTCCTATAAACTTTATTTGCATGAAAGGGACTAAAACGTAATGATAATCATTATCTCTGATCAATCGGCTTTATTTTTTGTTTCTGATATTAATCATATAGTTCTGACTTGAAAAGCTGTAAGATTATCTTTTTTTTTTTTGATGATGATGGATGATGATCATTTCAATAGATTTTTTTATTGGCACTCATAAATAAGTCCATAATTTTCAAATTTTTATACAAATATCAAATTATATTAAACAATTGATCCTTATCAAGCCTTTTGGCTAAGATCAATTGTAATATCTATTCTTTTCAACTTAATATTTGAAATGATCCACACTGTGATATTAAACTAATTTTTTAAATTGGGAGGGGTCCCTGGCTTGCCACACTCTCTCCTGGGTGTCCCTAGTATTGCACTATCTCTAGGATGCCCACTTTTACATTAAAATGGGATGGGATTAATATTTAATTGGTATTCGTGGGCGGATATTGAATACATATTAATATTAATATATTTTTTGTGAAACTAAAAAAATAATTGTAAAACCAAACAACTCGGGTATAATAATAAAACGTTTTCGAAAATTATTACTAAATTAACGTGCTTTAATGCTTGCTTATTTATTTGTGACTCAGAAAAATTTAACAAAGGATTAATGGCTTTTGTTTTTTCATTAAGAAAAAATAAATCTTAAAATATCGAAATCTTCTAAACCATTGGAACAGAAATATTATTTGGAATATAATTTTTTTTTTTTATTAATAATTTAAATTAATTTTGTAATATTTACATTATTATTACCTTAAAAAATCTTATTCTAAATTCTATATTAATCTATATTTCTATATGTATGTATATATTTTAATTAAACCATAATCATAAATATAATATTATTAAAATCTATAATATTTACAAATAATATAATTGTGCGAAAGAGAGAGATAAAAAAAAAATTTTTTTTTTCATATATTTTAATTTTAAAGCTTAAAATAAAATTGTGTTCTTAAATTCTTAAATTGTTTTTTGAATTAATTTTTTTTTTAAAAATCGTAAAATAATTCGTCGTTGTTGTTATTTAATAATAAATTTTGATTCATAAATAATAAATTATTATTGTTGTTGTTGTTGTTATCATGATATGAAATTCCAAGCCCATTATCGTCAAATGACGAATTTGAAAAATCATTTTGTTGTTGTTCATAAATATTTATAAATTGTTGAAAGTTACCAGTATTATCAATATTATTACCAATACTATTGTTAGTGTCGATAATATTTGAAAAGATATCCAATTCTGAAGATGATGGTGATGGTGATGGTGATGGTGGTTGGACGAATGAATTAATCAAATTTACAAAATTTGGTTGTTCATATGTATTATCAATATCAGGTGAACTACTGCTGCTGCTGCTGCTAGAATTGCTAGAAGGTTGGTAATCATTTGTTGAAGGTGTATATGATAACATATCTTGATCGAAAGGATTTAAATATTGATTTAAAATATTTTGAGAATTATTAAGATTTGCTGTAAAAGATGATGTGTCTAACATATTTTGAATAAAAATGTCGTTATTATTATCAGCGATGTTGTTAATGAATAAATCGTAATTAGATGAAATGTTAGGCGAAGAATTTGTTGAAGAAGGTGAAAATGATAACAATGGAGTAATGTTGTTGTTGTTGAAATAATCATAATCATCAAAAGTCAATAAATCAACTGTATTGGCGATATTTGGAGTATTGTTAATGTTGTTGTCGTTATTTCCAACAATAGTGACAGATGATTTAAAATTTTTATTTCTATTTTCATTTTTGTTTCCAGGTTGTTTGACATTTTTGTTAAGACGAGGTTTAGAAGATTTATTTTTTTGATCAAAAGAAACAAAATTCCAACGTTCTCTTTTATTAGGTTTAGTCGATTTTGGGTTCATCTCATTGAGACGATTGAATGCTTCCTTTGCAAGTTTCTTATATTCGTCTTTAACATATTGAGGTTCACTTTCCCAAGATTTGGAAACCATTGCTGAAATAACAGTCATTGGTAATGTGTAGCCATCAGCCTGAGCTGTATCCAGAAAAACTTTACGGTAAATGATAAAAGCGTTTGGAGACCTTGTAGGCAATTTACCATTATTTTGTTTGGTGATCAATTCACGAACATCAATTACAGGTGGGAAGGGTGGCTTGACGAATGGATGGCTGCTACTGGTAGAAATGGTTTGATTTGCAATTTCCGGATTGCTGGCGTCAATGAAAAAAACAGACCGCTGATTAAGAGAATTACCATCATTTGAAGGATTGTTCATTTTGTTAGAATTATAATCTAAAGAATATTACCAAGTTTAGTAGTAATATTTGATTTTTTTTTTTGCTTGAAAATTTAATATATTTAAATCCAATTGCTTTTTTTCTAGAGTGGCGAAACTTCATATTTATACCTTTTTTGTTTGATGAACGCCAAAAGACACAACAAACCGTATTTTTGTATATATTTGGACAGAACAATTGCTTCTATTTTTAGACGAATTTCCTTTTGAATAATCACCATTATCAAATTTAATTACTTTATAAAGAACTTGCTGGTTTCTTTAGAATTTGTTGGAATTAAGGAAACTTTCTAATCATAAAATAATTACTAGTTAACACGCCATGTTTTTTCCAAATTTAATCGTAGTGTGGCGCGAGTTTATTAATAATATCCAATGGTTACAAAAAATTTTAGCCACGTTAATCTTTGGATTGAATTTATAAATTTGGTAAATTTTTAAAATAAAATAAAAAACTGCAAAAAGGTTTGTGACTCCATGTTTACTAATACTAAACTCTAATTTTTGAGACCCGATTTATTTTTAAACTTTTTTTTTTGTGATACTAATACGTAGCAAACTTTTGCAGGTCACTAGTTGAAATTTCTCGAAAACCAACTTCACTCCTAAAAAACTACTATTTAAAAACCGTGGTTGTGACCGTAATAAATGATAAGAATCTCAAAGTTTCAATATATCAACTTTCAAAGAAACTTTCTTATAAAACAGTTTACCTTTGTATGTAGGGACCGTTAAATTCCTGCCTAAATTTACTATATGAAATTTAAGATTTGTTCGAATATAATATTTAAACAATGATGAAATAGTTTTCATTAATTTTAATTAATTTTTTATATTTTTATCAATATTATTTATTAATATAAACAATATGTTAAAGATACAAGGTATGGAGAAATTATGTTCTAATCTTTTAATTCTCTCGCGTAGCTGTGCTGTATAACATGTTATCCATGCTTGTATAGTTGACAATTTTGGTATCTTTTCCACTTTCAACTTCAAATAATCCAACGTTGTTTGGGCATTTATCCAACAACTCTCGTCAATATTTCCAGCAAAAACCACTGTTCTAAAATATGTGCGATTTTTGCCCAACCACTTGTTAATGGAAATTTTGATACTTCCAATGGTCTGCGGTATGTAAAATATTCAATTTTATTATCTGTTTGAAGCAGAAAGAATTTTTTTATTTAAACTTACATTATTTCCTCTTTCTCATTAGGCATACTTTGGATTTCTCGTATGTAAATATGTATTCTATATATTTATATTTCTCTTTTGAAATAACTGTTGCTGATCAACATAATAATTTTATTATATAGATTGCCTTTTTTAGAGGTGATGATCGTTTATAATCATTTCAATGTTATTACACAAATATTAGCGGATTTGTCTTAGGAGCCTTTATCTTCAATCGTAAATCGTCCATGGTAGACGGAGGAAATATTTTTTAACTATTACTGGTTGAAAAGTTTTGATTCACAACTCATATAATGAATTGTTTACGATAATGACATTTTGTATTTTACATAAATTTTACAATCGTGAAATCTATGGCATTACCCATTAGGTCTTAATGTTATTATAAATCTAAAAAAAAATTATCATAATACAGTCGAACAAATCTATGAAACGCATTAGCGATTTTGGCATAAAGAATTTTAAATAAATTTTTTTCTTATGTTCTGTATCTTAAGGAGTTTTTATATATGCAAAGCAAATTTTAAAATTCGTTGTAATGCGAGTATCATAATTCGTTGCAACAAGGTTTGACCGTAAACAAAATTTTATTGTTATTACCTTTAGTAGCAAAGTTTACAACGCATCAATCGATTTATTAATGTTAATCATGGAAATATAGATGGCTATTCATATTTGAAGTTTTGTCTTTTTGCTTTCTGGATTTTTTGGATGAGTTGTTTTATGTCCTAATCTCGATATTATGACAAGCATCATCATAAAATTAAATTATGCATACCTCTTCATCATCAAAATTTTTGCTATGTTCCTTCACGAGGAACAGAATCAACCTTAAAATTGACATTTTGTTGCCGGTGGATTGTATGATAATGGTTCCAGAATCCAATCGTTAAGATGAATATGAGCACATTTCAAAAAGTACGATCAAGCCTCGTGGTATGTAAACTTAAGATACTAAGTTTTTAGATTAGGATTAAGATTATGCAATAGATATAATGTCATTTTATTTATATTGCAACAATGACAACACCATTCCTTTTACTACCCAAGTGTAGATTCTTGCTTCTAAACTTTCTTCCCTTCAAAAATCATTTTTAATCCCTATTTGCGTGGCACAGTCAGTTTCAAAGGTAACGTTAGAAATGGCATCATCGCGTATGAAAAAGCGCACATAATAAACAACTTGTTGGTATAAATTTTTAAAGAAATTTCTTCGGTGACGATATAAAAAAGGTTAGTTCGTTTATCACTCTCCTTTTATATTACACTTTAAAAAACTTTAAAAATAATGTGCATCGATTGATTTGATAATTTTTTGCAAGAATATGAATGAAAATTGATTATTAATCAATTATATGAAATATATGAAAACAGGCTACCGATAATAGTTTTGCATGCGAAGCATGCCGATAACTCATTAAAATAAATTTTTTTTCATAATTTTGTTCTTTTTAAAAATTACGTTCACAAAATATTTTTTAATTTAATAAAAAATTTCTTTGGGAGGTCACTTTAATAAAAATTTTTTTTGATATGCAAAAAAATTTAGACTCGAATTGTTTATCAATAGATAATCAAGAAATTATCACAAGAAGCCCTAGTCCAACGCCATTGCGTACGAGTATATTTTATTAATGATGATTTATTATAATACATATATATAGTAAATAAGAATATTAATTGTAAATGTTCATCTTATTTCAGGCAGTTTGAATCGCCTTCTAGTAACAGATAATGCTTTATTAAATAAACCGATACATACTATTAAACTTTGTGAGAATTCCATATTATCTTTGGCATGTAGTAATAAATATTTATTTAGTGGTTCACAAGGTTCTTGTATACAGGTAAATTAAAAAAATCTTCAAAAAGTTAGAGAAAAGATTATATTTAATAATTTAATTATTCGATATTTATAGGTATGGGATTTAATCAATTTTCAACAAGCAGGAGCATTGAAAGGTCATACTGGAAGCATATTGTGTTTAAGTTTATCCGACGATCAATCAATGTTATTCAGTTCATCAGGTTGGAAAGATAGAAGAATTTATTAAGAATACATTTTTAGCTTACCTCTTTAACTTTAAAATCTATTTATTGTTTTTATTTTAGGTGATGGAACAGTTAGAGTAAGAATTTGGTTTTTTATAGTGCAAAAAAAAATGTTTGCTATAAAAAATTTAATAAATAAATGAATTTAGATTTGGAATGCAGATGCTTTAAAATGTCTTTATGTGATACAATCAAGCCAAGATGTTGGAGATATTTTTTCAGTTGTTTACTCTGATAAATTAAAGACCTTGTACATTGGTTGTCAAAATACAAGTATCCAGGTTTTTTCATTTCTCAACATTTTATAATTCATTTATGAATTTAGGCAGAGGGTACATATCAATATTAATTTTTATTTATTTTAGAGATTTGATCTTTCAATTAGGGAAACTTTCCAAACACCACATCTTCCAAATATTCATAATTATTCAAAATTCTTTGATTCACTCCTGAATACTAGTAATAACGGCAACTGTAATGGCGATATTGAAGATGTGCAAATCAACTTTGCTGAGGATGAAAAACAAGGGGTAAAGAGATATGAGATTTGTGATGATATGATTTATCTTAATAGTCATAATGGATATGTTTATGCTTTAGCATTAGGTGCAAATCAAGGTGGTGACATATTAATAAGTGGTCAGTTTTTTTTTTTATAATTTTGGAATCATAGAATATACAAATACATGTGTGCGCGCAATTTGTGTATAATAGAAATTAACTTTTTATTATAAAATACTTGTAAATAAAAAGGTTCTGGTGATGGAGATATTAAAGTATGTATAATGAGATCAGATTTAATTAAAATATTTCAAAATCCAACAAATAAATAATCGGTTTTATTTATTTATACTTTTAGATTTGGTCAATTAAAAAAAGTTCAATGAACTTGTTAAGAGTGTTGGGAAGCACTGATGCTAGTATTTTAACATTAGCATTGCAAGATGAATTATTGATATGTGGTACACAAGGTGGAGATATCAAAGTAAATACTTTAATGACAACATTAATTATATTCTTTTAATTGTTCTTTTTTAATTGTTCTTAATAATTATTTGCAAATTTTTTTTTTTTAGATTTATGATTTAGAAACTTATCAGGTAAAAAATAATGTTAAAATCAATCTTAACAATAAAATTTTTTATTGAATTTATTCCCTTTAATTTTAAAAATTAGCATATTAGATCATTAATGGCTCATAATGTAAGTTATAAGTTTATCTTAATAATAATAATAATAATATATTATTACTATTAATAATTAAATTATTTTTTTTTTATAGGATGATGTTTTGGCATTAGCTGTTGATGATAATAATTTATATTCTGGATCTGCAGATGGAACTATTAAAGTGGGTGGGAAATAAGAATATATATATATATATATATATAGTAAAATATGCAGAGAAGAAACTAGAAAAATGGGTTTATATTTAAATAATCAATACTATGCATATTATTTGGTATTTTCAGAGATGGAATAAAACATTCAACATCCTAGACACTTATAATGATCATAATGCAACAATACTTTCACTTACAATGTCACCACTACCTTCTACTAACACTACCACTAATACAAAATTATGGCTGATATCTGGTACTAATGACAAATTGATAAAGGTATGACATATATTAAAAATATTTAATAGTAAAAAATCAATTTTAATGATGACAATAATATTATTTTTATTACTTCATAAAAGTTCTGGGACTTGTCATCTACAATAACACTTGAGCCCCATGACTTATCAGAGTTTCCTAGTTCAGGTACAAAAAATGAAAATAAATATTTCGCTGTTTTACTAACAATAATAATAATAATAAATAAATAATGTGTATTTATTATAGACTTAATGATTTATGCGTTGTCAAAATGGATATCATTACAAACCATCAGTGGAAATTCTAAATATTCAGAAGAATGTTTACGTGGAGCAAAATACTTAAAAAGTATAATGGAACAATTGGGAGCAAATTCTTCTATAGTAGAGTATCTTTAAATTATCATTTGTAGCTGTAGTTGTAATAAACTTTATATTTTATTAACTATTAATTATTGTGCCTTATTTAAATCAAAAAAAAAAAAAATAGATCCCAGGAGGACCTGGACAGAATCCTTTGGTTTTTGGCAGATTTCTTGGAAATGAAAATAAATCTAATAAATTAAATATTTTGGTATATGGTCATTATGACGTCATTGCTGCTGATGAAACTGAATGGTCTTCAAGTCCATTTAAAATGTCTGGTAAAGATGGTTATCTTTATGGAAGAGGTGAATGTCATATAATTTTGGACGTGTTTGCATATGCAAATATACAAATATTTATTAATATAATGTATTTAAGGTGTGACTGATAATAAAGGACCAATGCTTTCTGCAATATTTGCTGCAAGTGAATTGCTACAAGAAAAAAGGCTTGAAGCAAATGTATCCTTTTTGATAGAAGGCGAAGAGGAGAATGGAAGTAAAGGATTTTATGAAGCTGTTGAACAATCCAAGGTAACGATAATAAATTATAGATATATATATTTATCATTAAAAATGCATCATTAAATAAGTATACACGTTTACTTAATAGGACCTAATTGGTGAAGCTGATATTATAATAGTTAGGTTGGATTTCAATGCATACACCTCCATATACATGATACAATAATTATTTTAGTTAAATTAAATCATTCTATTTTTAAATAGTAACTCTTATTGGTTAGATGATGAAACACCTTGTCTAACTTATGGATTACGTGGAATTGTCAAAGCAAAAATTGAAGTAAATATATCTACGTATTTGTATATAGAATTTACTATATATGTATATATGATTATAACATGTTATATATAATGCAAAATTATAGATATTTAATTCAAAAAATGATTTACATTCTGGAATGGAGGGTGGAGCAGTATCTGAGCCATTAAAAGATATGATTAAAATACTCTCGAAACTTGTACCAAATGATAATAAGGTTATGATACCAGGTGAAAATCAATTCATCAATCTTTAATAATTTATTATTGTGTCACAGTGCATATTAGTTATATTTACTGATTTTTTTTTTTTTGAATAATAATAGAATTTTATGATAAAGTTAGAGAAGTGACAACAAGTGAAAAAAAAATATATGAATCAATTATTAAATCAATCAATAGGTAATAGTTTAACTATACCACTATCAGTATTATTACTTTCCTATTATTCCTAGTAACACTTTTAAATATTCACGCTTACATATATATATTAGGAGTAAACTACTATTCAGTAATGAAAACAAAAATTTGAGAGATTCGTTGATGTTGAGATGGAGATATCCATCGCTAACCATACATAAGATAGATGTAAGTGGACCGATTGGTAATACAACAGTCATATCACATAAAGCAGAAGCTATACTAAGTATGAGGATTGTACCAGATCAAAATATAAATGACATAATTAAAAATTTTCAAATATATGTAAATGAAAATTTTGAAGAGTTGAGAACTGATAATTGTTTAAAGGTAAGGGATTCTATAATGATTAGATTTATAATTAATATAATAAATCTATTTTAATTTCAATTAATATCATCATAATAGATTACTATAAATAATATGGCAGATTGGTGGTTAGGTGATCCCGAAAATAAGTATTTTAAAGCAGCTGAAGAAGCAATTGAACAAGTAATAAATAAATAATATTTTGAAACTACAATCTATTGATAATTAATAATTAGTAATTATTATAATTTATAATCTGTAACGAATTTTCAACATATAGGAATGGGGCATAAAACCATTATATATAAGAGAAGGCGGATCAATTCCAGCAGTAAGCTGGTTAGAAAAAAGATTCAATGCAATAACTATAAATTTACCAATCGGTCAGGTAAATATACCATTAAATGTTTTTCTCTTTTCATAATAAATCAATATCAATAATAAAATAATAATAATAATAATTGCTATTATTATTTATTATTGTAGTCATCAGATCAGGCGCATTTAAAGAATGAAAGAATTAGATTACAAAATTTGTATGCTGGAAAAAGAATCTTTAAAAATTTATTTAACAACTTTAATTATATATAATTATAAATGACGTTTAAGGCTTTTGAATAATTGAATAATGTGGTGTATAGAAAGCTATTTATAAAAGCAAAGATTCGATCAAAGATAGAATTCTTATGCAAGAATTAAAATATAATTCAAATTTTAACAAGAGATTAGCACCATGCAAAAATTCTTTGGCTGGTTAACTGTGAAAATCTTCAGTTAACTGGTTAAGGATGCCTTATATAGTTAATCGATTCATTTTTATTTGTCAATTTAATCTTTATAAATACAATTATCTAATTATTACAATAAATATCATCTTTTTTTTAATATAAAATTGTTAACAACTATAGAACTTGGTTCTTGTTTTTTCTGCAGTTATTTGATTACTAAGGTCACTAAAATGTCTTCAAATTTCATAGATGTAGCTGATATTGAAAGAATTAAAAATCCAGTTTTTCTCATATTAAATAGTTATATCTTTACATTTTTTTACTTGCAAAAAAAAATTATTAAATTCGAAAATTAATTTTTTAACTAAAGTCACGTGAAGACTTTTTATTGCATTTTTGAACGAATCACAAAATCGCAATTGAGCGCGCAGCGCAGCAATAGGAGGTCTTTAGACCGAGCCAACCATAATATTTTTCCATGAATGATCATCCGTAAACGCGGCATATTTTGTGTAGTAGGTCAGGCATTTTAGAAATTAAATCCGACGGTTATATTAGAAGTAAAATTTAAAGGTTTAATCAGAATCGTTAGTATTGTTTTGAACATTACTGTAATGCTAATGAGGACTGAAAATTCACAATAATAACGGATAGTGGTTAAGAAATACTATACACAGGTGAAATTTTATTTTTACATAGTTCATTTCGTCGACACACATTTCGTCAACAGTTCATATCACTGACTATTTTGGTGATTATAATAATTGATGATAATTATTGTTTTTAATAGTGTGAATCAGACAAATTGACAATATGCTAATGAATAGTATTGAGATTTCATTTGAATCAAAATTTTTATTTCTCTGATGATGATTCATTTCAAGATGCATGAAATTCAGTCATTAATATGCTTGCAAACTAATTAGTATCCAAATTTTCTTTTTATCTAAATTTCCTGATGCTTCTGAAATCATGATTCCTAGATTCAATCAGGATTAACAACATTAATAATTATAATCAATGCATATATTACGCTAAAATCATATGAACTGTTGACGAAATGAACTGTCAACAAAATGCGTGTTGATGAAATGAATCAGACATCAGGAAAAGGCTTTTTTGATGAAGTTGGTAGTTGTTATTTAAAACCATGTTGTATTATACAATACTAATTGATTTTATATTAATCTCAGGCAATGAATTATTGTAAAATTAAATCAGGGATGATTGTCAATTGCTTTGGTATAATTAAATTCCTTGATAATGGAAATTATGCAATAGTTTTAACTTATGCTCCAGAAGGAAATTTAAGGATTATTTGCAAAAATATATTTAAATTTAGGCTGTTCAAATTTAATTATTTGTTTAACATTCTTTTTTTGAAAAACAATGAAAAGCCTGGAGTGATCGGCAGAGAAAAATATTTTTCCCAAAAATGTTTTGTTGCACACAAAAGTCACGTGTTTAATGAAAAAAGTTTCTCTGAATACTTTGTTACACGTTAAAATCACGTGTTTTATAATTGTTTGTTTATTATTATCCTTGAAATATTGAAAATGTTAAACAAATAATTAAATTTGAACGGCCCTAGCATTAAAAGATAGAATTACAATTTTCAGATATTTATGTGATGCATTAAATGGTATATATGAAAAAGATTTAATCCATTGTGATTTACATAGTGGTAATATATTATTGCAAGGAGGCGGGTGGTTGTTATATTACAGATTTAGGGATTATGTGGACCAGTTTGATGAAAAATCATCAGATAAAGTCTATGGAATTGTATCATGAGTTGCACCTGAGCTACTTGAAGGCAAAAAGAACACAAAAGAATATGATATCTGTTTGATGTTTGATATGTTTATGACCACCAATATTACCTGAAATGCCTGATTATTATGTTCAAATGATGCAGAAGTGTTGGATGTGGATCCATAAAAAAGAGCAACTAGTGAAGAGCTTAATGAATTTGTTGCTAATAAGTTGAGAGGAATACATATAACTGAAAGTTTGAAAATTAATAATAAAATAATAGTTTAATTAAATTTTCTAAAATTGAAAAGCTTGAAATGGATTTTAATAATGGTGGTGGTGGTAGTTCGCAACAAGTACACCAATCACATCCAGATGCATATCATACAAGTAGAATATTAGATGAAGAGATTGCCAAGTCTAAAGCCTTAAAAAGTTATACAAGTAATGATAGTTCGTTAAATAATCTTGATTTTAGCCCTTTTCTCTAAATATTATATAAACAAAGGTGAATAAGAATTTCATTTTTAACTAATTGGAAATTACTATCCATTATTAACAATATTTTTTAATTAATTAATAAACATTAGACTCTAGTAATAATAATAAAGGTGAATGACTAATTTAACCTCCACTATAAATTTATTCGTTATAGTTATTTATATTTTTATTTTATCATTACAGTCAAACCTCGTTACAGCGGATTTCTTGTTACAACGGATTTAAATATTGGCCCCTTTTTTTATTAAGTAAAAATGTTTGTCATTGTTGTATGTGAAAATGAAATTATGTGAATTTGCAATTCACATACACAGACAGACTCGATAAGTCAGCCGCATAATTTATACTATTGAGTACTTTAAACAATTGATTACTGCGGGCTGACTTATCGAGTCTGTCTGTGTATGTGAAATTCAAATTTACATGCGTGAAATTCAAATTAGCCAATCAGAATTTCACCCCACTCCATAATATTTCAATTTCACATAATTTCAATTTCACATACAACATCATAACAGATTTTATTAATAAATTTGTTCCACAACGTTAACGGCGGATTTTTGATGGGGGCCTTTTTATATGGCTACTAGTCTCATCACAACGGCTTCACGTGTCATAAATTATGAAATTACCAAAATTGATAAAATAAAATAGTAGTAATGGATTATTTTTAATCAAAGGTCAGTATTAAAATAAAGCAATAAAACAAATAAAACAAACAATTTTATCCAAAGATTTATGAGTAACAAATTTTCAAAATAAACTAATACAAACAATTGATAGATTATTTGTCTGAATGTTAGTGAGTAACAACTTTTTCCAAATTTCTAAAATAAACAATAAACAAACAATTGATAGGTTTATTTGTCCAAACGTTTGCGAGTAAAAACCTTTTCCAAGTTTCTAACAAACAATTGATAGATTATTTGTCCAAATTTTTGCGAGCAACAAAATACAACAATTTATAGATTATTTATCCGAATGTGTGCAAGTAACAAAATTTTCCAAGTTTCTAAAAATAAACAATTGATAATAAAGTCAATATATTATAAAGAATTTAAAGCATTTAAATCATTGAAAAGAAAAATGGAAAAACTAAACAACAATTTCCGCATGTATGGTTGGCTCGGTCTAAAGACCTCTTATTTCTGCGCCACTTGGCCAAATTTCAAAAATAGCAATTTTGTAATTTGTTCAAAAATGCAATAAAAATTTTCGAAAATAGAACTTCACGTGATTTTGGGTTTAAAAATTTATTTCGTACTGCCAAATTTAGATATGATGGTCATGTATTAGTCTAAAT